CCCCCAGCTCGGCTGCCAGCTTTTCCACTCACCCCTGAAGCCTCAATACAAGTTCAGTATTTTAAAGTCAGCGCCCCACCACCTCCACCCCAAACTCTTTGTTAATTTAATAGCACTGCTGTGGAGGTAGACTTCCTCAGAATGTGCTTCTGGATTTCTGTATGTGTAACTTAATCCCTTCTACAGATTAATGAGGTGGTAACTGCTAACATCTTTCTTTTTATAAGAAAAGAAACCGAGGCACATGAGACAAATAAGAAACTACCCAAGAGCAAGGGCAGATGCCTCTTCTCCCAGGGAGGGGGCCTTCTCCATGATGGCGGCTGCAAAGCTTCTCTAGGTGGGACTCTACCAGCACCTTCCTGGGTGCTGTCCTTCAGTGCATTCAGGTCATGGCATGTAAACAGGAATGTCCCTTCCTTGTGAATAATGGGCATTCTCCTTACTTAAGTCTCTCCAACTTTAAACTCAGCTTTACCAATGTCTCAAATTAAAAAGAAAATCTATTAAACAACAACAACAGAACCCCCAAATGTCCAAGGTCCAGATGTGGAAAGGGTTAGCAGCTGGAGCTGGAAGCCAGAAAGCCTCTGGAGACACACATTGACCTCCACACAACCCTGTCACTTGGATGTAAGGAGAAAAATTCTCCATGTTTTCCATAATAGTTCAGCCCTTGACTGATGCTCCCACTGTCTTGCATAACTATCCTGAAGCAGAGACAAATGGTCCACTCATAAGACACTACACCTGCGTGGGAGAGGACCTGCATGGGAACGTAGGTGATATATCTCCTCTGAAGCCCCAGGCCCAAGTGAGCTGGTGAAGATATGAGCCAATTTTCAGCCAGTGGGATCCTTTAAAGGGATTCAGTCACCAGAGATGCCTGGCTCATATCTTGTCGCTATGCAGTTGGGGCTGTCTGAGAATTCCTAAGTATTTTAGAAACTTTCCAGATGAAATCTCTCTCCTGGCAGAGAACATTCCCTCCACGCACCCACCTTCAAGTCTTTAAACTTTGTTTTATTACATGTCAGCTTGAAAAATAGGACACGAGAAGCTTATTAACTTGGGAATGTCAGGATTTGTTTTTTTCTAAAGCCTTACAAAGTAGAGTCATTACTCATCATACAAGGACAGAAATAGAAAGATGAGCATACTAAAAAACAAAACAAAACAATAAAAACAGGAACAAAAATAAATAAAAAGCCAAATCTCTTCCTAGACAGAGGGAACCTGAGGCCTAAGAGCTGGACGAGCTAATGTGCTACCACCACACTTGATCTCAGTGAGGCCCCTGATTCTCCACGATGGCTTGCTCATCAGCAACCACAGAAGATTCTGGACTGTGGCCATTAGGTGGGAGGATGACTCAGCTGCTGTGCATTTCCGCGTCACCCCCACAGTACCTCAAGAGTTGTGCAAAGCAGTGGGAAGACAAGCTTCTCTCTGAGTTTACATTCTCTTTGTTCTAGTCTGGAAGGACAATGGCAAAGGCAAATGGTTGTCCCAGTGCGAAGCAGGTAAACACAGCGCCTACACAAAACCCAAGAGCCTCACGGGCAGGCTGAGCCTCATGGGTGGGCCGATAATGCTGTGTACGTGAGGACAGACAACCCTGAAAGGGTAAGTCTTTACAAGGAGGAGGAAAGGGGAGTTCATTCTCATTTCACTAAAACAACAAACAACAACTCAGGAAGTCAGAGAAGCCAGTAGTGGAGAACAGAGCTTCCAGTGATTCATAACTTGGTATGTTATTCTGTGGACACCATGCCCCTCCAACCGGTTTTTAAGAAAGATGTCCTCCATGGTCCCCTGACCCCTCAGGTTTGCCTTAACAGCAGCTTCACTATGAGGCACTGTCCTACCCATTTCTTTCATTCACAAAATACTACGGCCAGTCCTATTCTCGATGAGTCTGTGAAATGTTCGAGGTTTTCTAACAGCAGTGAGCATGCTTTTCAACAGGAACAAAACCACTTAATAATAGTTTCTCTTCCTAGCTCTTTCCTCCCTAGTTAACAAATCCATAGTTCCCAAAGAAACCTAAACGTAAAATCTTCAAACTGAAAGGACTTTAAAGGTGACCAATTCCGCAGCCCTCCAAAGGTGCCTGCCTGTCACGGACCCTCACTTCAGTCCTGGGAGGCTGGGAACACATTTTCTCCATTACATATGTGTCTTAGCGCTTTCCCACTGCTATGACTGTATAGCATAGAGTTTTGATTTACTAATCTCTAAGTGGTAGGGAGGTTTTCTACCGGGAAGGCATGTTAGTCCTATACTAAAGGAATCCATTGGTTCCCTTTCCACTCTGTCAGAGGGACTGGAACCCAAGCCACTTTGCCTGCAAGAGCAATAGCCTTCTGCATGGCTCCCTTGCTCCTTCTCATCCATGCTTCATGAATGGATGAGACACACCCCGCCAAGCACACCTGCTCCCTGTGTGCCGAACCCTTCACCGGATTGCCACTTCATGTATAAATATAAAACCAGAATCCTTCCCCTGCATCTGCTTCCCCCTACAAGTTCATTTCTCTCTCTCATTGAGCTCTAGGTGACACCAGCCTTCTGAATCCTTCGAGCACCCACCCCTGCCTCTTCATGGCCTCAGGACCTGTGTTCTTGTTGTTCCTTAATCTAGACCAGCTTTCCCCAGACCCTGGCCTGCTAGGGGTTCTCACATTGGAGAAAAACAAATGTATCATTTCCTGGGGTTCTGATTACCTTTTCCAAAGCTCTCTCTGGCCTACCCACACTCCTGCATTTTTTTCTGAGCCATTACCACAGATGATAGTCCACTTGCTTATTGGTGAAATTATAAGGCCACTCCACGTAGTTAAAAGGATATTTATTTAATGGCATAACTCACAAATTAAGGGATAGGTAGGTCGCAGGGTCTGGGGAAGGTGTACCACAATCCAGCGGTGTTCTTTGGAGCTCTGCTGGGTCTACCTCCACCATTCAGGGTCCTGGAACAGAGAGCGCTGGCCCACCCAGATCTCGGGTCTCCAGGCGCCTCCCCTGGCCCCGCCTCATAGGCGTGACAGTTGCCAGAGTCTCAATGGGGGTTGGAACTTCCAGATCCAAGCTGACATGGCTACCCACTACATTTGCTCTTGTTTGAAATCTGTCTTTATACAGCAACACAACGTCCTCGGAGGCTCTGGTTACTCCCCCAACTCTAGCGGGAAGCACATTCATCCTGGTACACTGCAGTTGGTCAGTCGGACAAAGCCCAAAGACCCACATTTAAGTCCGGGCTCTCCTATCTAAGGCTTCCTCAAGCGACCCAGCAAGCTGTTAACCACAGGCAAGTCTTTAGGCCCCAAGTGTTAAGCAGGACAATAGTTTTTCTATCCTACGGTGCTATTGTGAAGGCCCTATTAAACAATGCATGTGAAAGTGCTATAGGGAAAAAGACATTGGCTTGCAAATGTCAGGTTTTAGGACCTCCATAAGAAGAATGGTTTCCCTGAGGGTAAACCCAGAGCCAATCCTTTGTTCATTCTATTTTCCTAAAGCAGCGCATCCATTATCCTCCCTCCCCACTCTGACATTCTAAATGATTATTCTTATTCGTTCTTTACTCTTTGGCTACATGGGTTGTGTTGACAGTAATTTTGAACTAAGGTTCCGAATTCTCCCTGGGGTTTCGGAATGGTGTAGACCCAGACCTGCCCTGATTGTGAGAGACAGGAAGACAACAGCTCTAGTTCATGTCTGGAGATCGTTCTCCATTTCTTTTGAAACACTGGTTGCCAAAGAGTTTCTTCCAAAGGCACCTAGGAGTGCACACAGCCTTAGCACTAGTGCCTTAGTGCCCTGTGTAGCAGAAGCTACAGATCTGTCCTCTCAGCCACCTACTCTTTTAGGGGTGACTCTCTGCAGTGGCTCTGTGTTGACCTTGCTTTGGAAAAGTCACCCCACATAACCAACAAAACCATCCCTTGTCCTTTACAGCAATGTGAACACACGAAACACACCCTCAGACAGGGCGTTTGTAACACCCGGTCACAAAGACCATGTCCAGTGACTCTGTCTCAGCACGGTTAACTAGGCTGTCATCCAATCAAGGGGCCCTAGCTGAGGCCCTTTGCAGGGTGTGTAACCACTGACAGCTTGCTCGCTAGGTAGTTGGCTTCAGCGTGGCTGTATAAGAAGCATGGCCGTCATCTTTAGAAAATAGTTACTTTACCTGCAAAACCGTGAGAACAGAGGCCTCAGTGGAAATGCAGGACATGCGAGTCATTCTCCACACTGCTTCTTTAGGTCACTATTCTGCCTGCAGTGCCTTTTCCGGAGTCTTTCAGGTCTAGGGAGAGTCACAAGATGTGTAAGGTTACACGGGAAATGAGTAACTCATATCGAGATGTTTTGATCCGACTGATAGGGGTCCCTTGAGTTAGTGGGGTATCTGGGTCATAGCAATGTAACAGAAAGGTACAGAAACCAGCTACTATTCTGAGATTACAGCAATCTGGGGAGTCAACTTGATCTTGGTTTTTCTCTTATATGGTCTCACGGTAACTATCAGAAGTTGTTCAAGGTCCAGCTGGCAAGGCCACCTTGATGTCAAGGGGCTCTAGCAAAAATGCCAGAGACTGTGAAGCCAATGGGGTTTCCAACTCATAGCATCCCGTGACACTTATCATGGAGTAAAATATTGGCTTTTTCCTCTAAAAATGTTTTTAGAAGATGGGCAGATTCCCCAAATACCTATCCCCTCAAATGTTAGATTGATGGGCGCCTGTGTACCATTCCCACCTGTCTGAGCACAAGGGACTCTAAGAAGAGGAACTGACTGATGCATTGGACCTCGCCACCTGGGTTTCCTTCTTTCCTCACCTCTGCCCATCTCATTTAGCTTAGGTACAAAGAAAACCAAGGCGTGTTTGAAGTTCCATGTTCTGACCTTAAAATGTGGGTCAAGAATATTTTGGATTCTTTTCTCTACAAAGTAGAAAACTCAAAATAAAAAAAAAAAACATTTGGTGTGTCGTGTGTGTGTGTGTGTGTGTGTGTGTGTGTGTGTGTGTGTGTGCACATTCTTGCATGTGCATGTAAAGGCCAGAGCAGGAAGGCAGCTGTCTTCCTCCACGGCACTCCTTTTTATCACCTGGGTGCGGGATCTCTCACTGAACTGGAAGCCTGCTACTTCAACTAGACTGACTGGTCATAGACCACTTGGGATCCAACTATCTCTGCCTCCCAAGGCTGGTTACAGGCACATACAGTCATGTTTGCCTTATTTGGTTTTCACATGAGTGTTGGGGATTCAAACTCAGGTCCTTAGGTCTTCATGCTTTAGCAGCACCTGCTCTTACCCACTGAGCCACCTCCCCAGGCCTTGTCTAGTTGTTTTTTTTTTTTTAAATGAACTTCATTGTGTTACAAAGACAAGATTTCCCTCACCTAATGTGTGCAGATGCAGTCGTTTCTCTCTGGAGATCTCTGGTGTCATACAGTCAACTCCATATTTTTTTTTTAAAGTTTTAAAATTATTTATTTATTCCTGTTTTATATGCATTGGTGTTTTGCCTGCATGCATGTCTATGTGAGGGTGTCAGATCTCCTGGTACTGGAGTCACAGACATTGTGAGCTGCCATGTGGGTGCTGGGAATTGAACCTGGATCTCCTGGAAGAGCTGTCAGTGCTCTTAACCACTGAGCTGTCTCTCCAGGCCCTCAATTCCATATTTTATTCTCCTGAAATTAACTCCTCCAAAGCTCTGTAGCTCACTGGAGATCTGTGAGTAACTGATTTCTACATGTGTATTTCTGCCCTTAAATTACTGCATAGTGGAGAAAGCCTGGGGACAAACATATGTGAATCAGGGTGTCTCTGTCAGGAATGGCGGAGGCCCAAGCCTTGCTGCTAATGGATGGAATGGACGCACTCTATTTCAAGTGAGAAGATTTGGCCCATTTGTCTTCTAGGTTCAATCAAAACAGTGGGAGTCCATGGACATCACCATTGCTTCTGTTCTAATCAAGTCAAGATCATCATGGCATGGTGGCCCCCATCTGTAATTCTAACACTCAGGAGTCTGAGGCAGGAGGATCAAGAGTGAGAGGCCAGCCTAGGCTATACTGTGAGATTCTCCAAATAAACACACACACACACACACACACACACACACACACAAACACACACACTCATGCACACATGTGTGCGTGCACTGGTAAATACCTACAGACACACAGACACATATATACATGTGCACACAATGCACATTTACATACACTCACATGCACACACAGATACGCACACATACATGTGCACATACACACACACAGATACACACATACCTCCAGGCATGTGCACATGCACACATAGACAGAGAGACACATACATGAGCACACACAACACCCCCCACACACACACATGTGCACGAAGGTGGGCACTTCTGTCATGACTCCACTATTTAGTCAAAGATCTGTTGGCTTAAAATATGCAAACAGCCCTGAAATCTCCTGCACATATAGAATACTAAGTTAAAATCCAGGTACTTAAGTGGGGGAGATAGAAGAAAATCCACAGTGCTTGGGTCAATATTACCAAAATAGGAACTTCCAAAGCAGAGATTTTTCATTTTTGCCGAAGTCCAATCCAGAAAATCCCATGGTAACTGTGTAGCAGACATCTCTGGCAAGGGTGCATTTGAACCATAGTTCCCACTAAGACAGCAGGCTGTCACACGCAGGTGATGTAACAGCCTTGCTTAGCTTCTGAAATGTTGACACAAGCCTACACGCCAGCTGTGTGAAAAGCAGAAATCAACAGCCAGAGCAGATCTTCTTCTGATGGCGAGTGAAGTGCCAGCACAGAGGTGTGATGAAATTCAGAAACAGAGCATTACGGGGACCCTCGCAGGCTGCCAGGCTTCACAACCCACCCCCCCTTTAGTGTCTCTATTGCTGGTGACAGAAATGAGCAACTTGGAAAACTTCCTTCCCACCTCCCATGTAGAACAGCCAGTAATGAGAAGCCAGGCTGTGAAGTGGGGAGGTGTGGCTCTCGGCAGGAAGAATGTCCAACTTCTGTCCTTTCCTCTCTTTCCACCTTTCTGCCTGGAACTCTTTAACTGGCTAGAGCCAGTTGCAAAAGATGGTACAGATGTTCTCTGCCTCCAGCTCCTCAAGCCACTGAGCTAAACTCGGCAAACACCCCCTGGCCCGAGCTTTTGTTAGATGAGAAAAAACAAGCCCTGACATATTTAGGCACCTTGCACTTTGAAAGATGAACACAGGAAAAGGGTAATGATGCTTCTCACTCTCTCACATAGCAAAAGTAAATTTAAATCAGGTTCAAGTGAGTACTTGCTCAACAGCACAATCCTGTACACAGTCAAGTGCAAAAATGTCTCAGATATGCTGAACTTCTCATCCATCTAAATTTGGAGGCAGATGGAGGCTTTAGGTAAACATCTGAAGGAAGGCAGCCTGCAAGATTTACCAAATTAACTCCAGTGCTGGCGAGAGCCGCAGTTGGCTGACTAGGCTTCTCCTAAGCACCCCTCAACACATGGCAAGCCTGCTCTGCATGGTTGCTAGCCAAGGCAGTGGTTCACACAGTGTCCCAGCATGACCCCGGAGGTGGGCTCCCTTCTTGAAAGGCTCTTATCGCACAGAGACTCAAGAGGCAGGTTTTCAATTAAAAAAAAAAAAAAGTCAGTACCACACAACTCAAAAACACTCTGAGCAGTTCAAGCTACAAGTGTGCCCCCTCACCATGTCCTCTGGCCCCAACCCCCTTTTAGTGACAAACTCCATCTGACCTTTGGGCACATCTTACAAGTTTGGAACTGGAAACTAATGGTTCTCATTGAAGTCCCAAGTCTATCAGCGACGAGATGTCATGACTGACTAGCTGGCTTCTCCCTCCTGGGCTGGAGAAGAGCAATGAAAGCCCTGCTTCCCGTGGCGATGACATGGTTAGCTGAGCTAATGCCCTGGATGTGCCGCGGCAGGAAAACTGGGGAGCTGACGGCCAGACTCACAGGCATTGAGAACAGCTGCTCCAGCGACCAGGCACTGCTCTGCCAACCAGACCAGGAAGTCCTGCTCAGAGCACCCTGCCCACTCCACACCAAGGGACTGTCTTGGAGAGGTGACAGCCATGGGTTGCATCGGCGGCTGAGGCCAAAGCCACAACAAAGGTTTCCATACTTCTCGTGGTCCAGGGCAGTCAGATGGGGGCCCACAGCTGCATTTATAGCTATCTGAAAGTCCAAAATTTTGCAAACACATTTTTACAAAGAAGTAATCGTAAGGGTCACGAAGAAGGCAAAGGAGACAGGATTTAAGAGACCCTGTTAAAGTCTGTTCCGGGATGCGACATTTTTGGTGGCTTGGTTATAAGCTGACTATCATCACTTCTTTCTCAATAATTCCTATGGCTATTCCTTCTTTTACTCTAAACGTTCTATTATTCTATATTTATAAACTACGTGAGGATCATAATGATCTTTTTTTTCTGGAGCTGGCTAGATCATCTGGTGAAGCCACGTGCCATCAAGCCAATGCCTTGAGTTTGATCCCCAGAACCCACATGGCAGGAGGAGAGGAGTGACTATCACAAGCTGGCTGTCCTCTGGTCTCCACGTATGTGAGCACACACACACGCACACACACCACTGAATGTCATAATTTTAAAAAGCCATTCTTTCTAATTTTGGTGGTAAAATATGGAGGACACAAAATTTATCACTTTAACCACTTAAAAATACCATTTTAGCCGGGCGGTGGTGGCGCACGCCTTTAATCCCAGCACTCGGGAGGCAGAGCCAGGTGGATCTCTGTGAGTTCGAGGCCAGCCTGGGCTACCAAGTGAGTTCCAGGAAAGGCGCAAAGCTACACAGAGAAACCCTGTCTCAAAAAAAAAAACCTAAAAAAAAAAAAAAAAAAAAAATACCATTTTATATGTAGTAACTTTCATACACACAGACACTGAACATGCATGGGTCACGTCTCGTCATCTGAGAGCACAGCTCTGCGGCATTAAAGACCCTCATGTCGCTGTGCAGCAACCAGCACCCTCCGTTTCTGGAACTGTTTCCTTTCCCAGCTGGACTCCGTGCCTACTGAGTACTAGCTCCTGCTTCTCCTGTGTGTCCAGCCCAGGGAACCCATCATCCCACTGCTTCTATGGCTTTGGCCACTCAAGAGCCCACGCAACAGGAGTCACACAGTATGTGGCCTAATGTAGTGTGTTTAAGATTCATCCATGTTGTCGCATGTACCAAAACTTCTTTCTTTGGGAAGGCCGAATAATATTCCACTGTAGGACATGCCATATTTTGCTCACTCATTCCTGTCAGTAAATATCTGGGCATGCTTCCATGTTGCTGTGAGCACGGGTATAAAAATAATTGGAGTTACTGCCTTTTTAAAGAATATACACCTTATTCCTTACTTATTCTAAGGGAATTTTTAATCAATTCTTTCAGAATTTGATGCCATGCACTTTGATCATATTTACCCCCACCTTAACCCCCACCCCCACCCCCAAATCCGCCTTTACTTCTCTACTTGTCTACTTTGGGTCTTTTTATTTTTTTTTTTTTTTAACCCATCATGTCTCCTGTGTGCTGTTCACATATCCTTGGATCTGTGGTTTTCCATTGCAGTGTGGAAATTTCCAGGGGTCACACTCTTAAAGAAAACTGACCTTCCCTCTCTGGGCAGCAATCACCTGCCAACTGCTACTCTAGCTCCCTTTATCTCATTGTCCATCCATCCATCCAAGGAAAACTTACTGTGTGCCTGCCACATGGTTGGAGGCACCGTATAGACACACCTGAACGCTGTGCTGCCTTGAGGAACTTGGAAATGGACGTGAGGTCCTCAACACATATACACTATAAAAGAAATATAAGACAGACATATACAGTGGGGGTGAAGTAGTCCATTTGCATGCTGGACAGCCGGGGAGCTTCCTGGTTCAGGAAGCGGGGCACTTCAACAGTCCCAATCTGGCTGTGAAACTGGACATTCCCGGAAGGGTCGCTGGTATTGAGTACACATCAGAAAGCCCAGGAAACTGGAGTCTGCTATCAGTGGAAATGGCAGCACCCAAAGCTGCACTTGTTTGGAAAGAGAGGAATGGATGGACAGAGCGCCGCTCTTACCTGGCACCCTGTATTCGGGAGGCCCAATGGGAAGGTGTTGTCCACTCTGAAGGTGTGTCATGACCCTGCATGACGGTCTTTTCTGGAGATGCTCCCACAGACACACCTGTGTCCATTTTCCCAGTTCAGACAACCTCCTCAATTCAGTCAAGTGGCCGACCAAGACCAGCTGTCACAGTGCGTCCAGAGACAATGTCTTACAGACACGTTGGTAGCCAGCATTTGGAAATGTCTCTTTCCTGGAGAATTTTCTTGCTATGGTGTCGACTTTCTCAGGATTCCTTCCTTCGGTTGTGCTTATCATTCTAGCCTTGTCCCTCCTGGTCTGTCTTGTCTTGGCAGCCTACATCATGTCCATTCTGTGTACCATCCCACGTCTTGGTCCGAACCCATCTGCTGCACGTCTCTGAGTCTGGAAGCTGAGGGAGGGCAGGATGGCGGCCGGGAAGAGCCAGGTCCTTACTCTGCCAAGGTGGAATGTGGGATGGACGCAGCCTCTCAGATATGCCACCTTCATCTAGGCAAGCGGGAGGGAGGAGAGGGAAGCTTGCTGTGCCGATGCCATGGGCCTGTCACAGCTGCTTCCCCAACTGCCACCACCGCATGCTGCTCAGTCCCGGGTCCTCTCCATCTTGCAGACCCCCGGGGAGAAATGGCAAGGCTTGCTGACCCCTGGGGACAGATCTAAGCTATGTATTTAATTCTGGGATGGATGGCTATGCCCAGTTCTTCCAACCACGGAACAAGGCTGCTTTCTTAAAACAGGCTGGCTGGGGCTCAGAGGCAGGCCCCCTGGGACTTCTGTGCAGGACCAGAAAGAGTTAACCTTAACGAGGGTGTTAGCTGCAATCTGTTTTCGAGCTTCAGAACACGCTGCAGAGAATCCCAGGCTTTAATGAGCAGCTCAGCCCGCGAGGAGTTTGACCCTTAGTGACCCGCACCGCATTGCACAGATAGCCAATCCCATGGAGAGATAACCCACACTAAAAAAGGTATTCCTCAGCACATAATGATACATCTGCCTAACCAGATAGAAGCCCCGCACAGATACCCACCTGATAAGCCCGAAATAACTAGGGCACAGCAGTGGTGGCACACTGCCAGAGTAGAACCCCCCCATCTACCCGCAGCCCCCTACAATGCCTCTGCGCAGACGGTGTCCCCCAACTGTCTTGCTCGCTATAGTTACGACAGAGTGTATCTAATAAACTCTATTCCTGTCTTTTGGTTTTGCTCTGTCGTGAACTCTTTACCACCCGCACATCACTGGCCTGTCACCACCATGGTTCCCACATGACATAATAGCACAACCCACCCAAGATATCAGATGGGCCGATGGGCCAAGCCTGAGCACCATTAGGAGGCCGTGGTCAAAAGGACAACCACATTCCATCTCCCTTTAACTGGATTAGAAGAAGGAAAAAGGAAAACCCGGAGAGCAGAGAGGATTGCAAGCAACAGAAATGGAAGTGCAGTGCAGTCCTGCTCAGGACACACTATGCCACCATCAAAAATGTCACTCTTTCGTGACCTGATGCACTCGACCATCGGAGGGGTAAGACTAGTTTAGTCTCCATACTCTTAAAAGCAGGAGATGAGGGGGGCTGCAGAGATGGCTCCGTGGTTAAGAGCACTGGTTGCTCTTGCAGAGGACCGGGGTTCAATTCCCAGCGCCTTCACAGTCGTGTACAACCACCTGTAACTCCAGTTCCAGGGACCCGGCCCCCTCTTCTGGCCTCTGTGGGCATCAGGCATGCGCGTAGTACACATACATCTATGGAGACACTCATGACGTAAAGTAAAAACAAATACATTTTTAAAAAATTAGGAGACAACGTTCCCTCACAAAATGAGCAAGCAAGCCCCGCTTCTGGTGGAGACCGCACAAAGCTTGTTAAGCACGCCCTTTCCTACTGGCCATTTTTTCTACTCCACCCACCACCTGGGGCCAACTCTCTTGCCCTTGTCCCATTTTCACGGCTGGTAACAGCCCGCCAGTTCTCCGTCTCATGCATCTCTGCCCTTCCTTTCCTTATGCGCTCTCCCTTGTCACAGGAGACTCGTAGTGCATGCACCTGTATGCTATGGATCATTCCAACACGGCTTCAATCTTCAGCCCCTGCAAATAACCCTGAGAATAATGTATGAATCTGACTCCTGCACGGAGAAGATTTACCTCAGATTATAGAAAACTCCATCGCCACCGGGTACTTCTTTGTTCTGGGTTTTTGGTTTTGTCTTGTTTTTCTCATCCCAGTAAGGAAGACCATCATACCCAAAGAGGTTTAGCAGAGGCCGGGGTGGAACTTATCGGCAAGGCATGAGCCCGGCATGCACAAGGCTGCACGTTCCATCCCAAGCATCCAAGACAAAAACAAACAAACAAGCCCAAAACCAAGGGGTGGTGGTGGTAGCATCTTGGAAGGAAAAAAAAAAAAAAGCTTGGCTTCGGGGATTCTGGATTTGGTTTAAGGGGAAATTTTAATGCAAGCAGGGGGAGGCTAGCTGGGTGAGACCGCGTTACAATAATACAGGATTCCAGGCACAGCCATAACTCTAGAGAGCCTGGCTAAGGCATTCCTGCTATACAGGTATTCTGTTTTTGGCCTTCTGAAGCTTTATCGTTGTTTTTGAGAAAGGGTCTCGCTATGTAGCCCTGGTTGCCCTGGAACTCACTATGTAGACCAGGCTGGCCTTGACTCAGAGACACTCTTGCCTCTGCCTCCTTAGTGCCGGGATTAAAGGTGTGCGCCACCATGCCCTGCAACCTTCTGAAACCTTTCAAATGCATTCATATCATCCCACTGTGCTCCTTTAAGAACTGTAGAGGGGCATAATTTTACACTTAAAATCCTAGATCGTCTGAGACACCTGCCTGAGTCTAGACTACAGCAAAAAAGAACTTGAGCGAAGCAGAGAGGAATTCTAAAGCACAAGTTTCACTTCCTGAATTCACTTTTGTGCCCTTCCCCCCACAGGCCCTAAGCCAGTGAGTGGTACAAACCCGAGCAAGCGAAGCCAGCCAGTCTCCCTGGCAGCTGCTGGCCAGTGTGACCAGGGGCCGCGGACCGGGATGGGGTTATATAAGCAGGGCTGACAGAGAAGCAGGACTTTCAGAATAGTGGGGCAACTCCTGCCAGGGCCCACCACGGCCAATCTTCTCACGCTGGCTCCACAGGACTGCACAAGAGGCCCCAGTGTGGGCCTCATGAGCTGGGAGGAGGGCCACTCACAAAGAAACTCTCACGTCATTAATTCATTGGCCTGGACCTCAGTGACCCAGCTGGCGGAGGACGCTCAAGTTAGGCTTGGTTTACAGGTCAGCTGACAGAAAGGAGACCTGGGCAGTTTTTCTCACACCTGGATCTGACAGGATGAAATTTAAATGCAAAGAGCCATGCGTGGGCCCCAGACATCAACCGCGCACGCCCACCATGGACCAATGCTCGCTGCAGGGGCATCCGTGGGGGGGCGGTGGTTCTTTGTTTTGGCTGGCTGCATTTGGCATGAGTCACTGTTCAGAATGGAGTTGCCAAAGGAGAAAAAGAAAAAGGTGGCAATCCAAATCCGCCACCACCGCCCTGGATGGTGGAGAACCACAGGCCCGCAGAAGGCTGAAGCCCCAAGCGAGCTAAGAAAGCATTCATCGTGAGGTTGGGCCTAGCCACGGGGAGGGACAGCCCAGCCTGCTCTGTTCTGTCCTGAGCAGATGACCTAAGGGGTGGTTTGGGGGTCTCTCAGTCCACCCCTCCCCAGGATGGTGAAGGAGAGACCGCAAACAGCATACCACGGAGCCCGTATGCGCTATGGTATACGGAAGGGCAGGAAACTGGAAGATGAGGGGCCAATGAGTGAAAAATCAAGAGAAAGAAAAGCTGCTCCAAGGAGCTAAAGAATCCGTGAAAGCTAGTGGCTGGGCCTGCCACCTCCAGAGGTTCTCACAGTCCCCTGGGCGGTCACAGAGCTTCTGAGTTCCCGGACGACACTGAAGCAGCTGGCTCAGGGACACACATGAACTAACTCCAACTGACAAAGCTAGCATTTGTTTCTCTGGCTGTTTATCTAGTTAATCAATTAACTTATTTATACAGAGTTTCATGTAGCCCAGGCTAGCCTTGAACTGGCTACACAGCCAAGGATTATCTTGAACTGGTCCGGCTTCCAATTCCCATGTGCTAGGATTGCAGGCAGGCACCACATACACAGGCTGCTGGTTTTTGATATCCTGTATCTCTAAAACTTTCCTTTGTGGGATTTTTTGTTGTTGTTATTTTGTCTTTTTTTTTTGAGACAGGATTTCCCCGTTTAGCCCTGGTTGGCCTGGAACTCACTCTGTAGACCAGGCTGGCCTCGAACTCAGGGTTCCCCCTGTCTCTGCCTCCCGAGCACTGGAGTGCTGGGATAAAAGGCATGCGCCACCACACCCAGCAAAATCCTCATACATCTGTATCTGAGATTATACACTCTCTAACATTCAGTCTGCCCAGCAGAAACCCAGCCCTTCCCTTCCAACCACCTTAGGATTTCTTGTAAGCTCAGCCTCTTAAACCAGACCTTTCTGCTTGTGCTGCACTTTCTGGCGTTTTATATAATCTGGTTCCCTCTGGTCTTCTTCCATTTTTCCTATGTCTTCTCACAACACGTTCAGCAGAACAAGTTTCATAAGATATTAGGAATGACCTGCTTTTATCAAATGATACCTGGCTTCCCTGCCTTCTGAAATAGTAAATACAGACCTAACCCCCCACCCTCCAAACCCGCTCTGACTGAGTCTACCATTCCCGTCTATTACGACAGAATTACATTTAATTAAACTGCATTTGGTTCCCAATTAATTTTATTTTTCCTCCTATCCCCGAAGTTTCAGACTTTGGAACCTGCTAGGAAAATCACCAGCATATGGGAATGCATATCAAATGACATGCAAAACGATGCAAATTAACACCAGGCATAGGTCTCTAAACGGTTTGGGCAACGTCTGCAAGCCCCCACTAAAACCAATTCAACCTGTTTCACCTCCCCACACCCTGGCAGCTCTCTCTCTCTCTCTCTCTCTCTCTCTCTCTCTCTCTCTCTCTCTCTCTCAGTATTCTAGACTATCTGGAATGCTGTAGTCCAAGCTAGTCATGAATCCTCCTGCCTCAGCCTCCTGAGTATTGGAACTACAGATAAGCGTACCACGTCTGTCCCGGATTCTCTTATCGCGGTTGGTCTTCGGCCACACTGAGAACCTGACACTGACAATGCTAGGGAAAGGCAGCTGCCGCCTGGAAATCAGCCAAAGGGATGCAGGCTTTAACTTGCTGTGGCCTTTGTCGGCTCAAGGTTCTCCAGGTCTCAGATGACGTGTTTGGAAACGACGGACATGACACCACAGAAAGGACATTACCACCGTATTCGAGTGGCTGGGTACCACACACACACACACACACACACACACACACACACGCACACACGCACACACGCACACACGCACACACACTATACATGTGTGCTGGAAACATGAAATCAGTTAGTGAGGAAGAACAGAGCCCTTAAGGCGTAGGGTCATTTCAGAGACCAGGACAAGGAGTCACAAAAGCCAGGAAACTTGAGCTAGAATGCAAAGCATGGGAATGACAGAGACAAGAAGCAAGCGGTCACAGCCTCAGCCCAGGAGCCTTGTCCCTGATCAGAGCACAGCTGAGGTCTGAGGTCACTCACCCTCTGCATTTCTGGCATCATCCAACTTGTGTGATCTACACAGTAAAAAGTCCAACTGCAGACGTACTTGCCTCACAATACTGTCTCTTTAAGGCACTGACTGCTTACATGAGTTTGATCGATCTACCATCAGAATCAAACTTTAAATGTTTTGCCCTGGGAAGTTTCGGGTCCCCTGAAACTGGAGTTACAGGCAGTTGTGAGCTGCCGTGTGGGTGCTGGGAGTTGAACCCGGGTCTTCTGGAGAAGCTGCCAGCATTCTTGACCTCTGAATTCTCACTCTTCTGGACGCCATCTTCTTCCACTGGCTCCACGTCATTCACCTTTAAATAGCTATAAAAAGCCATTCATTCCTCGGCTTCCCTCTTACCCTGGAAGCGGCTACCAGACCTGGCCACCCCTCTCTGGATGCTCTGCCCTCAGGATCCCCTTCCCCACCTCCGAATCTCCACTCTCTCCTCTTCACACCTCATCCCTGTTGCAGAGGGCAGCCAGCATCCAGAGCCTGCTCTACAGGCCACAGGGGACGCAGCTCTCCTTCCCAGCCCCCAGAACTGCGCAGACGCAACAAAACTGGACCTGTCCTTCTTCCTGGAACCTGCTCCTTTCCCAGTGCTCCCTGTTTCTGGGAACAGCAGCACCCAAACTTATGGAACCTCCCTGCACTCACATCCTCCACAAAATGTTCTCCGCAGCATGCCCCCGGTCCACCCACCAAATATCATCAGTACCTCAGTCGCTCGGACCCAGCCCTGCACACTCCAGGGCTCCTCAAATCCATTCAGCAGCCAGGGTGAGTGCTTGTTGGGACTCAGTTCTCCTACCTCAGCCTCCCAAGTGGTTGGGCCTGAAAGCTCTGTGCACCTGCACCTGGCTGGTTTGGTTTTCAGTCACCACTGTATGAGGAGACTCACAGGTGGGAAGCTGTTTTGAAGATGCACCTACATTATGTCACGGGCCCCACCTCCCACCATCCCTCAGCAGCACCCTTCTCCATCATCCCCTCGGGCTCCCATGGAGCTCTCCCAGCACTGACCTTTCCTGTTCTCTGCTCTTAGGATACACCGATCCTCTTTACGCCCCCAACCCCTCAGTCCCAACTCATCCTTAGCCCAGCTTCCATTCCACAGTACGGGGCCTGCACCCCGAAAAGATGAGCTACTGCCCATCTGTGCCCCACAGCCAGGGCCCCGCTCACAGTAACCATGCAAGACATTGGTTTGTCCAACTGACTCTTTGACCCCACGTTGCTCAATTTTATTGTCTCAATGAGGTTCCTGCCCCGCAAGTCTAAGACAAATCTTTGAAGCTTATTCAGCTTAACTCACACAATGTAGTGCTAATGGTAAGCCCCAGGAACCAGGGCTTGCCCACATCGTCTCCTCGGGTCAGGGCAGAAAAGGCAGCGTCAGCCACATAAAGCCTCCTGCCTGGAGTATGTACAGCCTGCCTAGGCTGACGGTACTTCTTGCAGTACTCATCTCACCCTGCCCATCTCTGCCCTGTTTAGCAAGACTCTCAGGATCTCTCCTTCCAGCCTTCTCCGTGCCTCACACTTCTTTGGCCATTTCTTCCCCAATACCAATAAAAGATAATCCAGCAACATCCGAACCCAGCATTCCTCACAGATCTGGATACCTATTGGGTGCACCACAGACAGCTCTCCGCAATAACTCACTTTTAAAGACTACTTCCTCCAGGCACTATCAACTAAAGCTGCCAAAACAGACGATTAGTTTCTAGACTTGGGCTGACACGTGGCTTAATAAATAACAAGGGCACCTTTTACGCATATAAGATAAAAGGAGATTTCTACGTCTCTCAAACCCGTACAATGGACTCTAATTTTATTCCAGCTCTCTTAATCTTCTTGTTTATTGCTCTTAAGTTTTAAAGGTTAAAAAAGGTGTGGGGCATGTGCCCCCAAACTGGCATCACCCCTCCAATCGCCGGGCATAAGATCTTCCAGCCTCTACCTGGAAGCTAGGAGCTTTCATTTGCATACCATGCCCACCCTGGAGGCACGCCCACGTCCGTGAGGGGGCCCTGGAGTCCCTTCCCTGGGGCTGGGATTCCCCCAGAGGTTCCCAGCCCTCCAGGAAGACGCCGCCACTTCGCTCGAGGGAGGGAGGAGGGTACGATTTCTGGCCCGCTCCGCAGCATGCAAACTTGACCTTAAAACGCGCAGAAGCTTGTCCCCGCAGAGGCCACGGGCCGGGACACGCGACCTGCGGCTTGCCTCCCCCCGGGGGACCTCCGTCCCCGCCACTCCACGGATAAGCTGCGCGAGGAGCGGGTCTCTGGGTGGCCCAAGCCGGGGAGGGCTCCCCCGCGGGCCCCGGCAACTTCGCGGCGTCCCACTCACGGCCGCGGCTGCCGCGTGGGGCTGCGAAGCCGCGGCATCTGCTGGACACTCACTGCAGTCGCACCGCCGCCCTCGCCTGCTCCTCGGGGACCCACGGGCTCCGCCGCCAAGAAGCCTAGACCCGGTTAGTTCCGGATCGCGCCGCCCCCGCCCCATCGCGACCAAGACGCGGCGCGCCAAGTTTCCCACGAGGGAAAGTGAAAGTGGCGGGGAGGAGAGGGGTCGCGCCCTAGCGCCCCTCGCTTGGTCCACGTGCCCAAGCCGACCTACCGGGGAGCTGGGGGCCCGGGGCGCGAGGTCCCCGGCACTGCGCCACCCCGGCACTCCGAGCCCGGCTCTCCTCTGCCACGCGTGCTGCTCCGGAGTTGCTCTCCCTCGGCCAGCGATGGGACAGCGCCGAGGTCCCCGGGACGCCGGGGAAAGGAGGAGCGCCACCGCCACGCTCCCTCCCGCGGAGGAGGCTCCGCGCCCTGCGCTCGGGGTCCCCCGCACCGCGCTGGGGACCGAAGTTCCGTGGCGCGCACGCCGGTAGGTCGTGGCTCTGGGGCCCGGGTACCCGCTTCTCTGCGGCTGCCCCGCCCGCCAGACACACACCAGGCGTCGGAGGAACGGGATTGCTAAGTGATTTGCCCAAAGTCGCCGAGAGGGCGGTGACAAAGCAACTCACGTCTGCTACTCCGGGCTGTACCCCCCCCTTCACGCCGGGCTCAAGGCTGGCAGGACTCGCCAGGATGCAAGCGGGCTCTGAGGGCGAGGCCAGCAACGGCCTGCGCTGCCTGGCGAGCGTTATCAGCAGCGTGGGAAGGTGGAGTCTAGCAGGATAATTAGGGTACAAAGTTGTGTTTTAATCAGGGGCTAGATGAGAAGTACGCTTCCTCTTTCCCCTCCGGCGGAGGTGAGGGTGGCAGGGGGTGATGCTGTATCGGGTTCACAGAGTAACTGCATCAAAGAGTGGTACACGCCCATTAAACCAGCCGGGCGGTATCTGACTCTTGAGGTTCTTGTAAGGAAGGGGTCCTGTGAGTATGTTCACTTTAAAGTAGACACTGTAGGTGTGGTGGTGCTTCACATGCCCAAAGGGTCTTCCGCATCCGGTGGGGGTGGGGGTAGGGGACTGTTCCTGGAATCTGCCCTTCAGAGCAAGGAGTAGGACTACGTGAGTCAGTCCGAGCAGGTTTATTCTTTGTTCTATCTTTTGAAATGGACTGAAAGCCTGCAGAATGCCTGGCTGGACCTAGAATCCAGATCCAGTTAGTTCCAAAGAGTGCCCACATCAGCAGAGAGCCTCAGTTTCCCTACCCTGGCTTAAAAAAGCATCCTGTGCTCAGTGTGCAAGTCTTCATGTCCATTTTTACAGACTTATTGAGAGAAACATGGGCCGGCGGCTTGGCCCACCTCTCCTTCCTGAGGAGACCTCTACTTTCTGGAGAAGTCATTAAATGACCTCCACAATTCATCTTCCCAATAATTCACCTTTTCCAAGTTGGCATCTTCTGTGCTGGAGAGGAAGGAGAAGAAACCAAGGCTTCCAGTGGTCCTCCGTTTTGTGCCCTGTTTGAAGCACTAACGCAGTTGAAATAGATCTCCACGACCGTATGAAGGGGAAGAACTGTTTTTATTCTGATTTCTCAAATGAGAAGTGGGATTCAAGTAATGGGTGGGGTGGGGGGTTGGGGGGTGGGCGTGGGGTTGGAGAGGGGAGAGCCAGAATGTAGACTTCGTGGTCTGTTGGGTGTGTGCCCTTAACCACAGAGGAACCCAGGCCAAGAGGGCTGGAACTCATAAGAAGCAGCAGCCAGCCTCAGCCCCAACTCAAGCAGCACCAGCCTCCAGTTACCGCAGGCAAGGCACACTAGGAAACACACACATCTGTTTTATTAGTTTGGACCTATCAAAGTGGATATCCACTCACTTCCTGGCTCCCCTAGCCCCAGATCTTTGGCCAATCATTCTGTCCTAAAGCAAGTGTTTTCTATGGTGGGACCTTTATCTTTTATTTTTATTTTTTACATTTATTTATTCGTTTGGGGCAAAGAGGTCAGAGGCCAACTTTCGGGAGTCGGTTCTTGACTTACACCACGTAGGCCCTGGAGATGGACCTTCGGTTGTAAGGCTTAGTAGTGAATGCTCTCGCCCTGTGAACCATGTTAGCTGCCCAGTGATGGGACCTTTTCTTCTAACTTACTTTCTGAGGTTGTGATAAACAACGTGGACAAAAAGCAACTTGGGGAAGAAAGGTTTTATCCGGCTTATATATCCCGATCACAGTCCATCGCTGAGGGAAGTAACTCAAGCAGGGACCGTGGAGGAAAGCTGTTCATTGGCTTGTTTCCAGGCTACATACAGCTAGCCTTCTTACACCTGCCTAGGGATGGTACTGCCCAGAGTGGGCTGGGCCCGGCTACATCAACTAGAATCCAGAAAATGCCGGACAGATACGCCTCAGGCCAATCTGATGGAGGCATTTCCTCAACTGAGGCTCCTTTGCAGGTGTGTCAAGCTGACAATCAAAATTAGCCATCACACCTTTAAAAAAAACATCTTCCACTTCATGTTCCTAAGCTTAGTTTTGGATTATTGTCTTAGGTTACTCATTGGGATGATTATTATTTCTATTCTGGTCATATCTGGGGTTACCTTTCTCTCCACCCATTGCCTTCAGTGGTGACTGTCCTTGTTCTCTCAAAATCTTATTGCAAACAGTTCCCCCAGATCCGAAAAGCAGGCTGCCCAACTTGGGTTGTGACCTCCGAGGAGGAGCGCCCCTTTGTATGCTTCTTGTCTGCAGCACCCTACGAATGAGGGGCCTTAACACCCCACGAGTGTTTTCTAGCAGGGGTGTGACTCCTCTGAAGGTTCAGGGTGGAGAGTCCTCTGCCTCCTCCTGGTGGCCATCAATCCTTGCTGGTGCTCGGCTCTGAGCTGTACCCCTCCAATTCTTCTCCCACTGTACTCTGGCCCGCCTTCCTCTGTTTCTTCCGTTTCCAAATTCCTCTTGGCTTCAAGAATAGTGCGCACTGGATTTAGAGCCCTAGTCCAATACGATCTCGTTTGAACTGGATTATATCTGTGCAGGTTCTCTTTGCAAATGAGGGTCCTTTCGTGAAGTTCAAGAGGACACAGAGTTTGGGGGAAACACTAACCTCCCACAATTCCCAAGTCAGTTAATGATACAGTGTTTGAGCTAAGGATGCAAAGAGGTATAAATTGAGGTGCCTGCTGCCCTCAAAGAAACGCTGGCTACTACGAACAGAAATAACCAAGGAAGGAGACACTGAGAGCCAAAAGACAACCCACGGGCCACATGACAGCTCCGGGACAGTGGCCAGGGATCCCACTAGGGAACCTCACCCTAAGGCAAGAGTGATCCAGGCACAATCAAGGGAGGTTCCAAGGGCAAAGGTGTGCCTGGCAGCACCCCATGTCTGAAGTGTCCCCGGAAGTGAGAGGCTGAGGGAATGCAAGTGCTTACCACATGAAACGGGAGAACACCACCAATTACTGCCATCATGGCCTGCTGTGGTCGCAGAGCATTTAGTATCAGGCCCAAAGGAGCCTCCAGTTGCCCCAGTGATTAGCTAAAACCCAGCGTTCCTCGGGAACTTGTGAAGCCAGTTCCCGGTCTACCAAAGGGAGTCATTTCCTTTACCTCTACGACTCTACAGTTCACACACAGCCTTGGTGCCTATCAGCAGCATATCCAGGCCCGCTGTAGCCTCCAGGCTCCCCATTCCTTACTCACAAGTGCTTGTTAGACATCCCACAGCCCCCTTCCAGCTCAGAGACTTCCCTCCCACAAGCTACTCCCCTTCCTTACGACCCTCGACCTCGCCGTCCTTACTCTGCTCTCTGCCCTCAGCTGCTGTCCTCACGATGTTTTCTCTGTCCTCTGTCTCATACAAAGCCCTGACTGACCACCACGTCCAGCCAGCGGGCCATGGTCAGTCTACTCTTTTCTCTCTGCTCTGGACTCTTCCAGATGCCTCTGGCTGTTGTCTCTTATTGATAATAAAACCCTTCGCCATATCGTGGAGTGGTCCTGTTGGCAGCTTTTTTTTTATTGCATCCCCTAGCAGACAGTACTCTCTGGGCTGAGGGTGCAGCTCAGTGGTTTAGATTCACAAGGCCCTGGGTTCGATCCCCCCGATCAAAAGTGGATGGAGGGTGGGGGTTGGGGAAGTACCCTCAGTGCTTTGCTCTTTGAGAAAGTCCGGAGACTGTCAGAGAGAATACCTCGTCTTGTAATCAAGGATCCCAAGGTCTGAAGGAGCGGCACAACTCGCCCAGGTTATGTCACAGATAGGTCATAGTTTGTATGTGACACACCGCTCTGCAGACCGCTTGTTCAGGAGCCCTGCCACACCTCTCTGCCCACACAGAATGCTGTTGCTTCCTGAGTTGCTCTTCAGTACTGACTGCTGCTCTTGCTCCAAGGAAAGCCCCTGGAGGAAACATGACAGCCTCCTTAAAGTGGCGTGAGTTCCAGCGGGAAACGGGCCAGGCTTCCTGGATAACGGAGCAGGCTCCACCTGAGTGTTCTGAAGACTCCCTGCCGACCTTCCCGCGCAGGAAAGGACCCTTTCTGCAGAACTCGTCTGCCTGAAGGAAGTAGGGCTGAAGGCACACAGAGTCATTGGTAAGGAGTGGAGCACAGAGGATAAGAAGAGCCCTCACCTCCAGTAGTTTCACGTGGTTTTGACTGTCCGGAGCACCGTTAGAGAGAGAGCATCATGTCTTGTGACCCAGGATCCCAAGGCTCCAAGGACTCGGCTGACTAGCCCAGGATGAACACCAGATCGGAGCTGGTGTGAAACATTCCGGACAATCCCTGTTCAGGGCCCTCCACTCCGGCAGGATGTAAACTAGCAGAACCTGGTGTTCACACCCCAGTGTCTAGTCTCACTACGTTGAAGCAGCACCCACACAACCAGACCTTGGTGTATTTTGAAGATTTTTTTTTTCTTTTCCAGACAGGGTTTCTCTGTGTAGCTTTGTGCCTTTCCTGGAACTCGCTTGGTAGCCCAGGCTGGCCTCGAACTCACAGAGATCCGCCTGCCTCTGCCTCCCGAGTGCTGGGATTAAAGGCGTGTGCCACCACTGCCCAGCAGATTTTTTCTTTTTGGGGGAGGGTGAGAATCTGCAACTATGACAAGCAGCTGCGGCTAAGCAGAATGTCTAGCCTTAGGCTGCGGATCTCACGTACGGTTTTCTGTGCTTCTCTGGATTTTCCTTTACTTAGCAAGCTGGTGACCTGCTGGGTCCACTTGCCGGCGGCCTTCACAGATCTATGCATTTGAGGCTGACACACTTCTGAGTCTGCTGTGAGCCAATGCATTCTTGCTCCTGCATTGCTGCATCGGTTGCTATGAGACAATATCAAAATATAAAAGACAGATCCTAGCCTTAGGAAAAATCCCATTTACACTAGGAGGCACGAGACAACATTCTATGTGCGTTTGTAGAGGAATCTGTGAGCAGTTTCTGCTTCTCAAAATCAGGCTCTCCTTGGCTACCCCTTTAAAGTGATTTTTTAGAGCATTTTTGCACCCCCCCCCCACTCTTTTTGTTTTGCGACAGGATATTATGTAGCCCTGCTGGCCTTGAACGTTCCTGCTTCCACTTTCGGGATTATAGGTGTCCTATACCATGTCCTGGCTTGGCTAGCGTCTTGAGGGATGCGCTCCTTCATCTTGTGTCACCTTTGGCCTTTTTCATGCTTCTTTCATCATTAGGGCACATCAGGTCCAACTAAGTCTGACTTGAGTCTAGCTCTGCAGGGAACTGAGTCAGTACTTACCCAGTGAACTGTAACTTAACCGAGAATGTGAACACCTGGGCATTTGCCTTTGCAACAGATAGCTGGGTCTCCGCCAATCACAGCAGCGAACTATTGAGGCTATATTTAAAAAAAGACGAATGCCAAGTTGTGGTTAATCCAGGTATTTCTCACTTCCGGTTTCTGCTTGCCGCTTCCATTTCTTTGGCTGTGATTGAATGTGCACGTGTGGTGGTGTGTGGTGTGGCACTCCAGAGGATCCTTGTATTTGGTTTGGACCGATGCCTGACTGGATTCTAGGTAAAAGGCAATTAATGTCTGCAAATCTGACCTAAGCGTGGTGGTTCATGTCTAATCTCAGAAGCAGAGGCAGACTGATGTTAGTTTGAAGCTAGCTGGGGCTGTTTGGCAAAGTCCAGGCCAGCCTAGGCTACAGAGTCACTGTACCAGGGTTCCTGTGCTATGATGAAACACCACAACCATAAGCAACCTGGGGAAGAGAGGATTTCATCTTCCAGCTTGTGGTCCATCTGCCAGGGAAGTCAGGGCAGGAACTCCGGGCAGGAACTGCAGCAGAGGCCGCGGAGGGATGCTGCTTACTGGCTTGCTCCCCACGGCTTGCTCAGGAAACTCGGCACAGGGATGGCTCCACCCACAATGGACTGAGCCTTCCACGTCAATCACACATCAAGAAAATGTCCTAAAAACTTAACCACAGGCCAATCTGGTTGGGGTTTTCTCCTTTGGGGTTCCCTCTTCCCAAATGACTCTAGATTATGTCATGTTAACAAAACACTAGTCAGCACAGTTACCACGTCTCAGGCCCTTTACCTGTACCCCCAAATAACTGCTAATCTAGGTGTTTTTGTAATTTCATCTTTTTAAATTTTTATTTTTTGAGACAGATTCTGTGTATTCTAGTCTGGCCTTCAATGTACAATGTAGCTGATGACTTTGAACTTCCAATCCTTTTCCTCCACCTCCTGAATGCAAGGGTTCAAGGCATGTGCCTCACCTCAGAGAGCTGCAATTTTGTCTTAACAGACACTAAACATCGATTGCTTGCTTGTTTCAAGCTCCTAGACAGAATACCCACAAGCATATGAACTTTGTCTTGTTCTTGCCTGTTTCTAGAACTTAACACAGTGGTTAGCACATTGTCGATGCTTGCTAAATAAATGAAGTACAAGTTAACCAACTAAACATAGGTAAGACGGGTTCTTGTCCTGGTCAGAGAGTAGAACAGTAGCCACTAGAGGCCAGGAAGGAGAGAGGAAGGAGGACAGAAAAGGCTGAGAAACAAGGGCATTCTGCATTTCTCTCCCAAGCCTGGAATAAGGTGGCTGGAAGCCCAGAAAAGAGAGTGGATTAGGCCAGAGAGTCTGTAGTATAGTTATCAGCCCAGCTGCATAGCATAACCATCTGGGAAGCTTAGGAAACTAATGATACACAGGCTGATTCCCCAAGATTCTTCTGTAAAAGAACAGGATTTGTGTGTGTGTGTGTGCGAACTGTAATGTAGCAGGCTCATTTTTTTCAGGGCCTTAGCAAGAGGGAAGTCAGGGCAACATAATTCAACATCACCCTCATACCAACAACTGTCTTTGAGCAGTTGCTATGTGTCTGCTACTGAGGCCTGCTTTGTCAAGACTCCCCGAGGGACCTCTGTAGCTCTATTTACAGACACAGATGGAGCCCCCAGACATGGGAGAGTGGCAGGCTCTGTGGCCAGCAATGGCACAGGCCAGATGCGGCCTAAAGGCTGTTGGCACCCAGGTGCCAGCCTGCATCATCAACCAGAGGCAGTTCTGGAAAGGAGCACTGACTTAGGATGGATGAAACACCACGACCAAAAGCAAGTTGGGGAGGAAAGGGTTTATAAGGCTTACATTCCCACAGCCCTGTTCATCATCAAAGGAAGTCAGGACAGGAACTCAAACAGAGCAGGAAGCTGGAGGCAGGCGCTGATGCAGAGGCCATGGAGGGATGCTCCTATGGCTTACTCAGCCTGCTTTCTGATAGAATCCGGGACTACCAGTCAAGGAACAGCGCCACCCACAATGGGCTTGGGCCGGACACACCCAATCACTAATTAAGAAAATGCCCTACAGGCTTGCATACAGCTTGATCTTATGGTGGCCTGCCCTTCCTTCCTTCCTTCCTTCCTTCCTTCCTTCCTTCCTTCCTTCCTTCCTTCCTTCCTTCCTTCCTTC